ACATTTAACTGGAGATTTTAATATTAAAGAAAGTCGAATACATTATATATTATCCTCATTAACGAAATTTTTTAAAAATATAATACTGCAATAACTTAATCAACGCCAATCAAAGGGTTATGCCAAAATGTTAAGTGCACCAAAACGGCAAAGCTCTAATGCTAAATTATTTGAAATTACATTATCTTATAAAATGAATCTATTTTAAATACTCTTTTGCAAATTAATATTTAACTCCCATTAAAAACACTAGTCTCCCTTCCCCTCTATGCTAAGAATGGGCTAATATTAATATTAAAATGCCTGATTATTATAATTAACTCATTAAATATTTTATTAATTATTGTAAATATTGTTATGTTCTTCACAAATAAATATAAAAACTGTATTTTATAAACTATTCTAATTTAATTGGCAATGATTTAAAAGTATCTTGTATTGAAGATACTCTAATTTAGCAAAAGATACAATTATCTTATTTTTTTATATTTTGTAAAAGATACAAGTTTCTTTATCAATATTAAGAATTTTTATCTAGATTCTTTTTCCGGAGGACCTGTCCAACTCTTCTTTCATTTTGATTTTGAGAAATTCAGTAGGAAGCAGTAATATGATTTAGCTTACAATTTTTTTTAACTTAAATTAGTCATTATTGGAATGTAATATTTGAAATCGTTTTTCCCAGTTACAACAATTCTGCAAGTGGATCACTCAATTCTGAACCAACAATATATTATTAACCCTAACCTGCATCATGTTCAGGTTGCCAGGTCAAAATTTTCAAATTGCGGGAGAAATTTGGTATTTTGCGGGAAAAATATGAAAATTGCGGTAGAAATATAAAAATTGCTAAAAAAAATTCGGGCCGGCCTTCAGTCGGGATTTTGAATTGACTTAGTTATCCGCCTATTATTTTTAATAATTAGTTTAGAATACAAAGTCATTAACTATTTTTCAAAATAAAATAGTTTAAGTACGATACAAAATTTTTTAAATACTATCTTTATTATTAAAATAACATCTTGATTTATTTATAAAAAAAACAAAAGATTTTAATTTTACGCAGCGGGGGGGGGGCAGAGAGCAAATCCCCCCCTCACCCAAGCCAAAAAATGCAGATGCCGGATATATTTTTCAAAAATATTGTTTATATTAATTTATATTTGTTTTTATTCATATCTCATATTAAATATATATTTAATTATATTTATCTACTAACTTATTTTATCAATTAATTTCGATTTCAAGTTTTTCGGCGTAATATTTACTTATTATTTTCAAATTTTTAGTGGCGTAATATTTATCTACCATTTTCAAATTTCTAGTCAAATAATTATTTCTGAAACTTCTTGTCCAACAGGGAAAAAGAAATTGCAACCTTGTCAAACGAAATAGAGTCTTTGCCATCAAGCAATAACAGCTTTTAAGGAGTTAGAAGAGCGAATTATTTGCCATTACTGAAATATCACAATGAAATATCTCCTCAGAAGCAAGAAAATTATTGGATTCAATGCTTATTCCAAATTTTATTTATCATTAGAATGTATTATTTAATTATACAACTATTTTAAGTATTACTTTTCAAAAACATGACATTGACTTGATTAAGAAGATGAGAAAACCCAAATAAATGAATTTTTAATTCATCATGCAGCACTTACTAATCTGCAAATATTACTTCCACGAAAGCCTTTCCATCCTTTTTCAGATGGTGATAGAAAAAAAAATATTTGTTAGATTTTTATTATGAAGATGTTAACGTATCTTAGGATCCTTACTAGCTGAATAACTATGTTTATAAGATTAACTATGGTTGACATAGTCCCAAAAAATGCTATGGATGCTCTGCATTATTTCAAACACATTTTTGATTAAATTCCCAGTGTATTAAAAGGGTTTATAAACTCTTCCCATTAGTAAACTAATGAGAGAACATTCTCTTTTTTAAAAAGAATAACAGAGGCCTGCAGAAGTACCATTTTCAGGGCACGCCCCGGATTTTTTACGGCCCGGCCTGGGTTTTTTTAAAAAAATTTTGGATTTTTTTTTAAATTTTCAGGCTCGGCCCGGCTTTTTTTTAAATAAAATTTTCAAGCCTGGCCCGGATTTTTTAAAATGAATTATATTTATTTTTGATTTTTATAGCTAATAATAACGATTCAAATATAGGCTGTTTTAAAAAATACAGCCCGAATTGGGTGTTTTTTTTAAATAATTCAGGCCCGGCTTGGGTGATTTTTTAAAAAAATTTCGGGCCCGGCCCGGGTATATTTAAAAAAATTAAAATACTGTCGGGCTTGCAGGTCTCTGAAAAATATACCAAGAAGTACAACATAGGAAAGTAGATTGAAAGGTTTGGATCTTTTGAATATTCATAGGCATTTGACGACAAGCAAGCGAAGATTGGATTTTACATTGTAAATATATAACATACAAAATGCAATTATTCTTAAGAAACTTTTTGTGTAAAGGCTCAAAAAATTCAAATTTCTATTTGGGGTCATTTAAGTAATTCTTTACATATTTTTTTATAATTCACATTAATTTAAAATTGTGTATTAGAAATAGTTATTAGTCCTAATAAATTTATGCTTGATATTTTAAAAAAACAATAATATTTCTTAAAAAATTTTATTATCCCCCCCCCCCCCAGACCAAATTCTTACGTACGCCCTTGTAATAAATATATTTTATGCGAAAGTTCCGCAAAATGTTTATAATAACATTATAGGGATAGGCGCTTAATTAACACGAATCACTTTTAAATACATAATAAGGTAATATTGTACATATTTCAATGATAATTATAGTTCAATTATATTATTATAATCATTGCAGGGTAGTGTAACTACATCTAATGCAAAACAAAAATATTCGAAATAATACAGATGCAACTACAGTTGAGGCAATGGTATACACTTATCATGTAGTACAACATTCACAGAGCTACTTATCATCACAATATGGGTAGATTCTTTTCCCCATAATATTAAGCCTCCGAGATAAATAAAAACTTTACTTGTAGAACAAAAATGAGCAAGGCAATCATCAATGTTTTAGAACCTGAATCCAGGTTAATTCTTGACGATTTGAAAGACCGGCATACATATGAAATTCTAACAGATGCATATAAGGGAAATATTAAAACATTTCCCTTGATCTTCCGCTATTTCAACAAAATTAAGGTCTTTTTAATAAAACTATTAAAAAATTTTCCCTCAAATAGTGAATAATCCAAAGACATAACTAACCTTATAATGGTAAATATAGCAGATTGGGGATTATCAATGAATTTATACTCTCCTTGATTTATTAATGGATAAAAATAAAAATGATAGAAAGAAATTTACAAACTAGACATGTTTTTCTAATAAATATTTAATTAAAAATATAAAAATAATCAATTACTGTCTCTTAAAACAAAATATTATTTGTATATTAAAAACGTTTAAATGCTAAAAAAATTTGCGGGGAAATTAAAAAATTGCGGGAGATTTCCAATTGCGGTATATAAATACCACGCCGGGTCATCTTTGAATTTATTAGTAATATATCAATACAATATAAGTGATACATTATATATCTATATTATGTATATACATGTACGGCAAAGTAAACAATAATAACAATTATAATATTTACAATTTTTCCATCCAAGATGGAGGTAAATGTATAATTATCGGGTATAAAGTTAATTAAAGTCTGTGATGGACTAATCTTCAGACAATGTTTACTTTGAGGTATTTGCCTCAGGGGGGTACAATGAGTTCTTTCCAGTGAGACCCCTTTTGGCAAGGTTTGTCTTAATCGATGATCCGTGTCTTATGGGCGACGTGATATCGGCCACTCAATAAGGTTCCCAGGGAAAAATTTTGCGTTGGTCAGTACTTTTACACGATGGGAAAATAATTATTATAAAAATTTCAAAAGATATTATTTTTCCATTGTGTAAGCCTATATATAGGCGAAAGCGCTAGGAGGCCCCGTGACCACGCCGGGTCATCTTTGAATTTATTAGTATTATATCAATATAATATAAGTGATACATTATATATCTATATTAAGTATATACATGTACGGCAAAGTAAACAATAATAACAATTTTAATTTTTACAATTTTTCCAACCAAGATGGAGGTAAATGTATAATTATCGGGTATAAAGTTAATTAAAGTCTGTGATGGACTAATCTTCAGACAATGTTTACTTTGAGGTATTTGCCTCAGGGGGGGGGGGGTTCAATGAGTTGTTTCTAGTGAGACCCCTTTTGGCAAGGTTTGTCTTAATCGATGATCCGTTCTTATATGGGCGACGTGATATCGGTCACTCAATAAGGTTCCCAGGGAAAAATTTTGCATTGGTCAGTCCTCTTACACGATGGAAAATAATTATTATAAAAATTTCAAAAGATATTTTTCCATTGTGTAAGCCTATATATAGGCGAAGTACTAACAAATTGCGGAAGTCTCCTGCTGATGGGGGGAGACATGGCAATCCTGATCATGTTACTCTCAATCCTCCTAACTTTTTCTATAAGAGCAATCAATATTATTTTTTCACACATATCAAATGTTCTAGTATGCCTATTTATTAATTAATATAAGGGGTTATTGCAATGACATAATACTACCTAGACTAGTGATTCATTCATGTGTATATACAAATCAGCTGGTACCATTTGGTTTCCAAATAAATCAGAGACCTTTAGAAGTACCATTTGCATGGCCTTGCAGGATTTTTTTATAAATTTTTAAGCCTGACCAAGATTTTTTAAAAATATATTATATTTATTTTTAATTTTTATAAATAATGCATAAAATATTTGGTTTTAAAATATACAACCTAGCCCAAATATATTTTTTCAGGCCATATTTAGAAATTTTTTTAGACCAACCTTGAATAATAATATGGCCTGGCCTATTTACCTAGGCTTAGGGGTGGGCCTGCGGATCTCTAATTAGTTCTGCTTATTGTTCATTTTTATTTTTTAAAAAAAACTAGCAATCCATTTCCATGATAAGGAACAAGAACAACAAGCAAGAGATTCCATGAAAAAAATGGAGGAAACTAAATCAAATTCAATTCAAACCTTACTAATGCCATATAAAACTTTTTATGATGCCGAAAAGTTAAAATATTAATTTACATAAATTGTGTGCAATGGATGTTCACAAGCAAGTCCTTTGTTTAAATTTTTTTACCCACCTCCCCAGTTGTATATTTTTCAGAGTTGTCACTGTATCTAGATACAAAAATGTTGTATCTGTATCTAAATACCCTTTTATAAAGAGTATCGGTATCTAGATCCTATTTTAGTAGTAACTATTTTTAGATACTTTTTTATCTTAAAAACAAATATTTGAATACAAAATTCATTTTATCTCATATGAGCATATAATTTAAATAAATATATATTAAAAAATATTGAGACTAATATTATAATAAAAAATATATAATTCAATAAATATTTTTCCCATTTAAGGCCACATTCATAGTAGATCCGATCCGACACGATTTAACAGCTGATCGGTTTATGAGAATCAATTTTTCTTTATTAAAACCAATATTTCTTAGGTTATTATCATGTATAAAATTAAAGACAAAATTAATATTATTACAAAAAAATTGATCTCATAAACAGATTTTAAAAATTGATCAGATGTTAAATCGTGTCAGATTGGATCCACTCTGAATGCGGCCTAAATCTATACATAACAATTCAAGATTGTGAAGGATATTTTTATCATGTAAAGGAATATATAAATCACCATTATGCCCATTAATTATTAAAAAATAATAGCATTGATGCACAAAATTATTTTAGCAAAGAAATTTATCTAGAATTTGTTAAATAATTTAGATATTCAGCTAACTTTTGATAAATGTGAAATATAAATTTAATGTAAATATTTTTTAAAAAATGCTCATTTTTAAATAAGAATTAGTTCAAAAGAAAGATAAAAATAAGGGTATGGATATTTTTTATATGGTGTTTGAATTAAAAGAACAATTTTGTACTCTCATGATAAGAGTTTCTAAGAACACTAACTCTATTAAGTCTGATAAAAATGACATCTATATTTTTTATAAAATTGTATCTGAATCTAGATATTTTTAAGACAATGTATCTATCTAGATCCATAAAAAGTATCTTTTAACAACTCTGATATTTTTACTTAACATTTTAAAATAAAGAAATAATTTTTAATATAAATTTGCCTATCATAAAATATTAAAAATCCATAAGCTCATTATTTACTTTAAAATATTGTATACTTGCCTGCTCATTGTTTATATTTCATCTAACTTCTATACATAAAAATTTATTTAGTTATCATCAGAAATATATTCTACGCAAGTATAAAATATTTTTGGAATCTCTTTGCTTGAATGATGATGAGATTAAAAACACATATGCTGCATGCGTTTTGAATGGTTACCTAGGAGGTTACTATTTAAATTTTAAAAATATTATAGATTTTAATAGGGCATATTAGTGAAACAGAAAAGGTGCGTATCCTTGATATAGGTTTATCTGATGAACAGCTGAGATATTTAGAAGCCTGTCTTTAAAATCAAAAATTAACTATTATTTTAACTAATGATATTACCATTTATTCCATATTAAATTTACTATTATATAAAAAATTAAAATGAGATGGTAGTCTCTCTTGACAATGCAAAATTTTTATTAATTATAATTTAACTAATGAATATATAATTTATTGTCTATTTTTAATTATAAAGAATATTAAAATAATGATTTTAAGCTGCATTTACGTCTGGAAGTTGGCAGCATACATTCACTTTGATCTCCTATATTTTCTTGATATTTTTGAGCAAGATAATATGCAGAATCAGTTAGTTTTTCTAGAGATTCTAATATCGTTTTAAGTTGTTTACGAAAAATTAATGAGGCTTGGTAAGCATATAAATCTTGTTCACTCAAAAATCCATTTGAAAAGTCTTGCAAAGCATTTGATTCATCTGAACCTGGAAGCAACTTTAGTTCCTTACTAATTTCATTTAACAATAAAAAGTTACTATACAAGGTAAGTGAAGGATCTTTATTCATTTCTTTTACATTATTTTTTCTAAAGCTTTCTTTTGATTCTGAGGTTGGATTGCCATTCATATTTTCAGAAATGATTAAAGATGGAGTTATATTATTAGGAATATCTTTTAAACGACTAGGAAGCATTATAGTATCCTTCATATAATTTATTGCATCAATAAATTTCGATGTAGATTCAATTAAGGAATTATTAGTTCGTTGTATATTGTGGTTGGAATTTTTATATAGAATATTAGAATCTAAATCGTTTTGAATATTAGAGCTAGATAGATTTGTGTAAATCATTTCATTATCATGTGGCAGTATGCTAGGCATCTTAATTAAATAAAAATAGTGAAATAAAAAACCAAATAAAAGGTCAATAAAAATTGAAAAATCGTATGATTTTTATTTTATTGGATAAAACACGTGTTCTTGCTACTATCCAACTGCTTTTAATATTTTTATCATGGAAATTTAATTTGTGATACGATTCTTGCAAATTTAATGGTAATATGTTGTATACCTTAAACCTTAACAGGATTTCAACGTCATTTATTATAAAATATAATAAGTAAAATGATCTTGATTTTTTTTCTAAAAGGTACTTAAATATTTTTGTTTATTATAATGGATTTATTAAATAACCTGTTTCTGATTATATATTCAGAAATTCTTTTTTCTCTAGGATACGTGCAATAAATTTTTTTTAAAACCTTTATAATATTTAGTTAAGATTTACTTAATTTAAGAATATAAATATATATAATTATTTTCAAGGAGTTAAATTTAATAGGAATATTTATAATTATTTCTAAGACATTGTTCACTGTCTATTAAATTAAATAAATGTTCCACACACACATATTTTATTTTACCGAATATATAGTTTAAGTAAAAAATTGATGTGGATGTTATAGTAAAGAAACTTTTTTATTGTTGAATAAAAAGTGATAAAATTTATATTTCAATGAGGATTGTAAAATAACATGGATCCTTTAAGTTAAATGCAAAGTAAAAGAAACAAGTATTAACAACCTATCGAGGAGCATAGCTCTACAAGAAATCTCTTATGCAGATTATCTTTATAAGACAATTGGAAACTAGCTTAGATTGAATAAGACCAAATGTAGAGCATGAGATTGAAAAGGAAAATAAGAGACAAGTCCAAATCATGATTTACATTATGTTAAACAATAGAAAAGGAGTGATAAAAGAGAGGACAGAGTTGTATTCATTATCGTTAAAACCAATGATATTAATACTATAAACTGCCGATCGTAATGCTAAAATCCATAGGCATAACCGGAGGGGGGGGGGCAAGGGGAAATCCCCCCTTTCGAAATTTATCACTTTTCTGAATATCAATTTAAGCTAATAAAAGGTTCCCGTCCTCCACCCACTTCCTGACCCCCCAAAATATATCTTAAACAATAATTTGAAAGAAAGAATTTAAAATTTGATATTTTTTTAAATTAAACTATTTATCATAATTTATACATTTTTGGAAAAAAAGCATTTTTATATAAAAAAAAATGAACCAAAAATGTTTTTTAAGAAATAGAATATAAGCTAAAGATAAGTCCTAAGACAAAAGTGAAATGTATTATAATTATTAATAATAGATCTGTAAAATTATATTTTTTTATAAAGTGATTAATATTAATTTATTTATCTTAATAAAAGTAAAATATAATTATAAAACTATTGATAAAATTAAATCTTAAATTCAATAAAAAAATTAAAGCACAATGCAAGTGAAATATTATATATCGAGATTTACAATATATCTAATTTTATCAATTATCATAAGACAATCAAATTATATTTATAAGGACATCAGAAAATATCTTTTAAAGACATTTTGGGATGAATAATATGAAGATTAATTTTTTATTTGAAATAAATAGATGGCGTTGAATAATTGAATGCAATTGTTCCTATATTTATTATCAAGAGCATTGATTAGTAAAATTTGTTAAAATATTAACTGTAATATATTGTCAAATATGTCTGTAAAAGTATAATTTTACTTAGTATTTTATAACCAATTCTATATAATAGAGGAATATCAACTATATTATTTTTTATAAATAAATTTCTTATACCTGTTTGGAATAAATTATTATCATAATTTTATATTAATAAAGTAATTTATTATATTTTATGTAAATTAATAAAACTATATTTCATATTTGTTACAAGCTTATTTGTTTTATTAAAATACCTATCTATGTTATGACTATATATAGACCAAGGTAACCCGACCGAAGGCCCGCCCAAAATGGGGGCGGACCCCAAAAATATTTTAATCCCCCCCCCCCTTAGGAAAATTTTGGCTATGCCTATGTAAAAAAAATTTGAAGTGGCAAAGAAGCGACTGGTAGCCATTTTATATATGAAGGGTAGGCCTTCACATAATTCAGTTATCTCACTTTGGGCATGTCTATGACAAACATGCTAGAATTTTTAATATATAGATACATTTATATTATACAAATTATTATTTACTTAAATGTTTTACTAAATGAATAAAAAATCATTTTCGAGTAAGTAAATTATGCTTATACTGTTTTGATTATTGCTTGATTAATATCTTTAAGGTATATTTAGAGTAATCTAGTTAGAATTAATACTTTTTATAGTGATAGGAATAATTTAAACATTTCTGCTCTTTATTAACATTTGCAGTTTATTACTTAATGAATATTTTTAAGATTTTTTTTGACTAATCATAATCAATATAAAATAGAAACTATATAGTAAGAATATAGTTTAATATTTTGTGCCCTTTATTAAAATTTCCAGAGATGTAAAGATTTATTATTTTCTTTATATCTTAATAAATATCTTTGAGATTTTTCAAATTTATAGACTAATCAAGTTAGAATTAATATTTTTACTAAGAATTAAGTTTAATATTTATTTATTTATATATTCAATAATAGAAATTAAAAAATGGAATGTACATGATTTTATTGATCAATATTTTGAATTATTTAAAAAAAAATATTGATATAATTTCTTTTGTAATTCTGTTAAAATAAAAAATGAGGTTATATATTATAATTCCTTTATTTATAATTTCTAAATTTTATTATATTTTGTTTTTGCTTTGAATTATGTGATTTTTTAATAATTATAAACCATAGGCGTTGCCAGGATTTTCCTAAGGGGGGGGGGATAAAAAAATTTCTAGAGGCTTCGCCCTTAGACCCCATTTTGGGCGGGCCTTCGGCCGGGTTACCTAAGTCTATATATATAGTCATAAAATATTTTTACAAGATATGAGGTTAATTTTAATATAAAAATAAGCCTGGAACAAATATTATATATTTTTATTAGTTTATATAAAATATAAAAAATTACTTGTATATACATTAATATAAAAGCATGGTAATAATTTATTCCGAACAAGCATAAGAAATTTATTTATAAAAATAAGTTGACAATATAGAATTGGTTACAAAATACTAGGTAAAATTCCACTTTTACAGACATATTTTACAGTTAGACAATATATTATAGTTTATATTTTAGCAAAATTTACTAATCAATGCTCTTGATAATAAATATAGCAACAATTTGCACTCAATTTAGTAACGCCATCTATTTATTTTAAATAAAAAATGATATTAAGAAAATAATCTTCATATTATTCATACCACACAATGTCTTTAAAAGATATTTTCTGATGTCCTTATCAATATTATATAGTTTTCTGTAATATATAATTCGCTATATTGGTAAAAATTATTTGATTTTCATATGATAATTGATAAAATTAGATATACTGTAAATCTACGACATATAATATTCCACTGTTTGTATTGTGCTTTATTTTTTCTATTTAATTTATGATTTAATTTTATCAATAGTTTTATAATTATATTTTACTTTTATTAAAATAAAAATTACTCACTTTATAAAAAATTATATTTGATATATTATATTATTTAGTAATTTTATGCGTTTATTATTAATAATTATATTATATTTCACTTTGGTATTAAGACTTATCTGTGGCTTATATTCCTTTTCTTAAAAAACATTTTGTTCACTTTTTTTATATATAAAGGGTATGACTAAATACTGCATTGCTAAAAAGCAATTAATCATAATCAATCAAAATTTGATTATATAATATTTTTTTTAAATAATTTTCATAAACATTTTTTTTAATGTACATAAATCATTTTTTTATTAAGTAAAAAATTGAGATTAAATATTAAATAATTTATAATTCTATTTTTACGTAATATTATTGGAAAAAAAAATATATTTACTAGCTTATTATAACTTAAATTTTATTTTTTAATTGCAACATTTAACAAATATCCATAAGAGGGCGTTTAATGCATAAATATGAAAATATATTCTTAGGAAATCAGAATAATTATTGGATAGCGCTTTTTTTATATTTGGGTGTAAATACATGTGAAAAACCTAAAAATATTTAAAAAATATAGGTTTCTTTGACATTTAACTAATGAGTAGGTTTAGAATCGAAAAATAGTAGAAAATTTGTAAGGCACATATTGCTGACGTTATTGATCAAAATCTCTTCATTTTTGGTTTATACGTGAATATTTAAGTGTTAAACATTATCCTAAAAAATCGAATGCCGAGCTCAAAACCAACCATTTACTAAATATTCGATCGACCAAATTTTGTATTAATATTAGTTGAAAAATGATCATTTTTTGTTTATTTATCTATAAATACGTGTAAATCATTATCCCAAATAATATTTTAAAATAATTGTGATTTGACCCGATTTGAAACCGGGCCAATGACTAAATACTGCATTGCAGGCATTATCCATGGAAAATTTTTTATTTTTGGTTTATTACAATAACGTGTTAAGCATTATCCTAAATAATTTTTTTTAAATATTATGATTTGACCGAATGGCGAGCCGACCACTTACTAAATATTTGATCGACCAAATTTGGTAGTAATATTTTTTGGAAAATGTTCATTTTTGGATTATTTATCTATAAATACGTGTAAAACATCATCCCAAAAAATATTTTTAAAATATCGTGATTTGACCGATAACTGATTTGAAACTGAAATACTGCATTGCTGGCGTTATCGAGGGAAAATTCTTCATTTTTGTTTTATATGTATACATTTAGGTGTTAAGCATTATCCTAAAAAATATTATGATTTGACCGAATACCGAGCTCAAAACCGACCACTTACTAAATATTCGATTGACTAAATTTGGTAGTAATATTAATTGGAAAAAGTTCAATTTTGGTTTATATATCTATAAATACGTGTAAATCATTATCCCAAAAAATATTTTTAAAATATCGTGATTTGACAGATAACCGATTTGAAACCGGGCCAATGACTAAATACTTCATTGCTGGCGTTATCCATGGAAAATTTTTTATTTTTGGTTTACACGCGTGCAATAACATGTTAAGCATTATCCTAAAAA